CATCATTCATTCTTTTTTGTCAGTATGCCATTGCACAAGGAGAGTTAAAATGCTTATGTTTTTGAAGGCATGAGGTCTGGCAGATGGTGTATAAGCACTGATTTAGCTTTGAAATCCCCAGCACTATTCAGTAGAGACACACTGTCTTTAGCCAGTTTGAAGCCTGGCACCTTGGCCTCTTCAGCTACACAACTTTTCAGGCATATGTTTCCAATAAAGGGCTATCTTATCTGCATTAAAAACTTGTCTCACCACTTTATAAAATTCTTCAGGATAAAGATGAGCAGCCTTAGTATGAGATGAGACTGCTTCACCTGAAACAACTTAGCTTCCTAAATTATACTTTGTAATAAATTTCTGAACCCACCTATGGCTACTTTGAAAAACATATCTATCATTACATCACTTTCTCAACATCATTGCACTCAACCAAGTTCTTATATACTGCCTTTGCATGACTTTGGAGATGTTTTGTTGACACAGGAAGCTTGTTTTTGTAACAGTCTTGCATCCGCAAATACACACCCTTTTCCATGGGTTGAATGAACTCATCTTTATGTAACCTGGTAATATGACTAACTGATCTGGGTAAAGCTTCAGTCAAAGCTGTCATTACTTCTTCATGCACTTTGTAAATAAAATGAATGCTTGATTCATTTGCACCATAATCACGGCCCACAGCACTGACGCTTCCACCATCATATATTTTGTTTATCATATCTACCTTTTCTTCTGGAGAATACACTTCATCTGCAACATGTGTTAAAATCAGGCGCCTTCATATTTTTCTTGTTCATTGGTGTAATACCAATGAACAAGAAAAATATGACTAATGTTGAAGAGTCTGAAAACACAGTATGCATCACTATGTATAAAAAATATCCAAGCCTTGCAGCACAGTGATATAAACACAAAGCAATAGCCAGTAAATTATTGCAAAGCTGAGCATAATGGGCGCTCACTATTCTGCCATCTCTTGATGGTCACTGTTACTATTGCAGCCGTTCGCTGACCCATGATAACACAGATCAGAAATAAACGAGGATAGATGTATAACATTGTACATATTGTATTTTATGACACATAAAATACAACTTTTGTCTTAAAAAACTCAAAAATTTACCTCGCTTCATATATATGAAGTTGTGATCTCCCATAGGCTAACAAATTCTCCAAGTCACATATACCTGTATTCATGGTTACTGGGTATTTTAATTGTAAATGTTTTGTTACCTTTTTGCTATATCTAAGAAAATTCTATATTTACAGTATTTGCTTATGATATTTTAATTGTCAAGGACTTCTGCTATGCTAATTTTCTGTTTTACATTCAATAAAAAATACTGGTATCTTGTTTTTATATATATCAGGAGTAAACAAACTTTGTCACAATAGGAGCCACAGACTGCCTAACAGAAATAAATGAGAGTCACATCCTCTGTTTATAATATTTTAGCTATATATAATATAATTATCACTGTTACATTACTTTGTTTACCTAATCATCATAAAGTATCAATAATCATTTAACACCTTTGACTTTATGAATATGACCTAAGCTTTCAGTTTCCTGTTCAAAGTTAAGTTGTGAGTTTCACTTACAATTTCTGTGTATATTAGAATTCTGTGTATTCTATATACGTGTAATAGTCAGAAAACTTACAAAAGTATTATTTATGTTTAAGTAGTACATACTAAGTTCATATAAAGAACCTGTGTAAGTATGTGAGAGCTGCAATAAAGGTCTAGAAAGGCCACATATGACTAAGCATTTGTGGTGAGTCTAAAAAGTTTGGTGAATGTTAGGATATCTTGAATGCAACACATACAACAAGTTTGAGCATGTGTGTGGACATCCAGGAACATGTCCAGAAGTGCTTCCTAGCGTAAAATACGTATGGCTGCAAGTGCCTTCTGCTACAGTCATTCAAGCACAGTCTGTGTGAGAAGTGGTGTCAAAGAGCAATAGAACAATGACACAACATGAAGTTTTGCTTCAAATTGGGCAAAATAGTGATAAAGATTAATTCCCTTACTTCTATGTCCTTATTGTTTAATATGTCCTTATAGTATATACACAGAAATGTATAAGATGCTTGAAATGTCAATCAAAGTGTAAGGGAACAATGCTGTGAGCAGAAAATGTGTTTAGACTAGTTTAAATGCTTTTGCAATGGTAAAGAATCATTGGAAGATGAGCCACATTCAGGTTGGCCATTGACAAACAGAATGCTTGACATGATCATGCATGTGTGAAGCTTGCTAGAAACAATTCAGCAGCTGACTGTGCAATTGATAGTAGAGAAAGGGTACTTAGTAAAGACACAGCACAAGTTATCATCCATCAAGACTTGGATAAGCACACGATTTGTTCATAATTTGTACCACATATCCTCAGACAGATGAGCAAAACACAAAATGTTTCAAAACCTGTGGAGATTTCATGCCATTTGTAACCAGGATCCATCCTTTCTTGGGTCCATTATCACAAAGTATGAGACTTCACATTATCAGTTTGACCCCAAATGGAAGAGGCAAACAGAATGGCAAGCAATTCTTTGATGAGACCCAAAAAAGTTGCTAGCAAAAATCAACAGTCAAGATGGGGTTAATCATATTTTTGAACAAAGATGGAATCATCCATAAGAAATTTGTTCCTGTCAGTCAAACTGTCATTGCTACATTCTACCTGGGTGTTCACCTGTTTCCAGAAGCTTCACAAACATTGTCAAAAGTGTGTTGCATCTCATGGAGAATACTTTGAAGGCCAATAAAGTAATTCCTATGTATCTTCTGTTTTGTTGTTTTCAATCTAAGATTCACTAAACTTTTTAGGCACAACACATATTCATGCAGAATATTTTAACGGTAAATGATTTCTATTTATCTATAACAGAAATGTGCATTCTAATTTACTTTTTAAACCAGAATACAGTAAAAGAAATTTTTGGGACTGAATTACTAATGGCACAAAATGACTTAAATACACTAAATACTTTTTCTTAAATATTCTGTGCTAAAATGGGAGTGCTTCATAAATACTGTAAAATATGGTAAATAAGAAATACAGTGAAAACTGCTTAGGCGACCACCTGCATTCGACGGGCAAAAATTTCTGGCACGGAATAGTTTATCCATAGAGTCTTCGTATAAGTTACCTGTATTAAATGACCAGCTGTGTAACGCGACCGCGGGCATCGATTTTTGGTCCTAAACAACATACAACAACTGTAATAAGCGACCACTTTCACGAATGTATCTGGTCTAAACTATTGTAAGAACCCATCTCAACAACGTTTCAACCTCCTAATATAATGAATTAGTCTAAACTCTCGTTCGAACCCATCCCGGGCACTTCTCCCACCCTTGAAATTAGGTGCAGGTGTTAATAAATTAGTTTAGCAACAAAGGAAATTCATTTCAGTTTGTTGGAAAATGTCCGAAATGCAAAGTGCTGTCGTTAGAAGATCGTATTAAAGTTATCACAACAGCAATTAGCGGCGAAGTTTAACTGTGGGAAAACAAAATTTATTTTACCCTAGACCTACAGTATTTTCCTTGGGGGTGTAAAATATTGTACACGATACAATTAATCGGCTGATCTCATCGTTTGATAAAATCTATTTTTATTTATTTATTTTGAAGCTCATATACAGTACACGTGCGATAAATAGTTTCTGTATCAACCTACCTTATTTCCACGATATTTTTAGAAAAATAATATCCAAGTAATTTTCGCAGGCAAAATATTCAAAAAACAATAAACGCATTAATGCAAAAATCAGTTTTACTTCCTTTTTCGATTCCGCGATTGTAATGAAATCGTATAATGAGAAAAAATAATAAAATCGTTTTATTATTAATTAATAATTTTTCTTATTGTACTTAATTAATTAAGAAAATATTAAATATTAAAAAATACAGTATTTTTAAAGTTAAAATAAGATTAAACTAACGAAAACCAAAAGCAAAGTGATGGAGAGATAGGACGCGCTTGTATATTGATGACGTAATACACGTAACTGAGGAGCGAACGAAAAGAACCGAGTCGAATTAATTAAGTCGGAAAAAAGAAAGTGTGCATTATAATCGAGAAAATGCGAGTATTGTATTAATCTTTAAAATATTGGTGTTAAATCTGTCTTATAATATCATGACGACTCCTGTAAATCGGGTTATCCGATAAGAATAAAATACAATACCAATATAGCCCTATCATTGAAAAAATTCGCTTATTTTTGCTAGCCTCGAGTTTTGCTTAGTAGAAATGGCTAAAAAGTGCACAAAATATGTACGGATATACGGTATTACAGCACTACCTGTATTGGATGACCATCTGTCTAAAAGACCAGTTTTTGAAGGAACCGTCGGTGGTCGCCATAGACAGGTTTTACTGTACATATATTAATTGTATATTTTATGTATTTATTATAACTTTTTGTATATGAAATTATAGTATTTCCCAGAATAAGAACAATAAGAATAAGTGCTGAATCTTGAATATGTATCATTCTGCTACCATTACTAAGCAACAAAAATTCTTTGAAACATAATGTTTGAATTTTTGAAAAACTTAAATACTATATTATAGAATGTTGTGTGACTTATTTTTTTAACAATCTCAAATATCTTGCAAAAAAGTTAGATTATAATAGTTTAAACATATCTTATAATTTCCTAAAAAATATATATGTAATGTCATGAGCATGGAACTATTTTCCTTTATCCTTGGGATATGTAGACTAATGAACATTAGCTCCATCCTTAGTCTAGGAAAGACTGTAGACAAGTATTATATAAACTGAATGTATAATACATAAATTTTATAAACCTTATATAAAAAGAAAATTCATTAATTTAACAACAAACTGTTATGAAATTCTTTTAACAAAATATCAATTTTCTACATTCTTTGCTAATGTCATCATGTAAAATAAATACCATATGAAAGTGCTGTAATTCAGTTTTTATGTAGTTATTCTACTTATGGCGATGTCATAAAATGCATATTTTGATTACATAAATTTTTCATAGAAGGATACAAACTGAGGAATGATACGATGAAATGTACTTCCTTTGAAACCAAATCCCTTTTCATGTGTACAGAGACAGCGAAAATTTTCTGGTTTTAATAAAATATTTTTAAAATTAATAAAATATTTTTGAAATTAATAAAATACAATTTATTATATTTA